ATAAGAATCTAATGCCTGATGATCTGAGGTGGAGGTGAGGCACTGATGCTAGTACTGGGGAGTGGCTGCAAATACAGATGAAGTTTCACTAGCTCATGTGTTGCTCACCTTCTGCTGTGCAGCCTGGTTTCTAACAGGCCATGGACCAGTACTGGTCCACGGCCAGGGAGTTGGGGACCCCTGATTTAAATAGTTTATATCATATTTGCTCTTTGAGAAAGGCAGTTAGGAAATTATGTTTATTAGTGAAGACAGTCAATTCATTCGTGGATGTTTTACTTGTGTTTTTTTCTGTTATTCTTACTTGTGAGTCTCCCCAGGGAATACAATGCTTTGTTACGAAAAGTATTTCTCAAAATATGAGGCACATTTGCACACTATGCATTTTCCTTTTACAAGTTGAAATGTTTAATGCATTTAAAATGCTACAAATGTTGATAATACAAAAAGAGATAGGATTGTTGTTGCTGCTTAGTAACATTTAGCAAGAAAAACACAGAACATAAATTTTGAAAATATGTTTTTGAATTATAAATCCACTTGGAAATACTTTCCTATAATCTTTTTTTAAAGAAAGATTGTTTCAATGGGATTAACTCAGGATTAATATTGCCCTGGTTTAGTATTTTTTCCAAAATGATAAAATTATATTTATAAATTCTTACATTTTAAGCATAGCACATATGTGCATAGTTGTTTTCTTTATCCTGAATGCATATTGATTATGTGCCTAGAAGCTCACAGTGAGAGACTAGACATGTCCAAGAAGCAAAACCATAAATTATTCATTTAATTTGAGTGTATTTGAAAAAAAATAGGTATTAGATAACTTTTCTTTTAATGTCAAATGCGAATATTTGGGACTCGTTGAGTTGCTTCCTAATATTTATACAAAAATTGTATTTCAAAACTGGTTTTCATTCTGCCCTAAGGATAAAATCAGGAAATTGGCCAAATATGCTAGCCAAGTTGGATTCCTTGCACAAGAGGGGAGTATTTAGAACTCCTAAATAACCCTTTCCTTCAGTGTAAAGTACACACGATACTATAAAAAGTATGAATGCTATTGAAACTCTGTTGCTAAGATGAATTTATTCCAACCTGGTACTTATTATCAAAAATGATTTATGATATGTGCACAGCCCAAATGAATATAAGGAGCACTGTAGGAGGTATTGCGTTGTGAGGCTCTACAAAGGCCTTTTTTCTTTCATTAACTTCCATTTCTGGTTGCTATGGCATCCGGTGACAACCATAAATTTTGGAAATTATCAACATCTGCCCACGCCCCCTCCAAAAGTTACACACAAGTCCACTCAAACAACAACAACAACAACAAATAAAAACTCTGTAAGCAAAAGCTAAAGCTGTTTTTTAAAAAATTACATATAAAAGCTCAAAATGGGACATAGCTCAAATAACTTAAATGCAGATGAAGATAATGTATTTTGGAAAACTGTGTTAGATGACTCAAAAAGTGCTTCTAATGTGGACAAAGCCCTGGTGTTGAAGAAGCATATGAAAAGTTTAACCAAAATCATTCCGTGAAGTGTGAGCGTTAAAAAATAAATAAGTACATATATAGATATATTCATAAATTACACATACCTAAATATATAATGTTAGAGCTAGGAAAAGACTTAAAAAATATTAAAATGGTTAGATTTTTTTTCCTGAGAAAACAGATGTCACCAGGAAAAATTACTATTAACTCTCATGTTCAATTTTGGAAAAGAAAAAATGAGAGAATGATTAGGAACAAATTGATTGATTTTTATAAATTTGTCAAAATTAATAAATTTTCTTTTTCACAACTTTGAAGGCAAATTTGCATTTTTATGCTTTTCAAATGGTACAAAAGTAAGGTCAACATTCATAGGTATGCTATCATTTAAAGTTACAGAAGCTTTGAGATTTGGGGGCAGGGGTTATTTTCTTTGTTGTCTTGAGGCTTACATGTTTGTTTATTTGTTTTGCTAGTTTTAGAAACATGATTTCCAAGTCTTTTAAAGATACTGATATAACTATACAGTCTCAGAAACAAATTTTTTAAATTCCAAACTCACAGGTCAAAAACATAGTAGAAATGTCACCAAACTAGTTTGCTTAGTGTCAACATTATTGACATTCAACTTTTTTATCATGTTTTAAAAAACTAAATAACACTCTGCATTTTCCCCACCTTAGGAAGAAAAAAAATGACATTTTATTTTATTAGAAGTAACAAATATAAGAAAAGAATTTAGCAAATATGAATAAAATCCTGGGATATAAATGTATATATATTCATATAGAATCGTATTTCCCCAACACACTAAGTTCTCCTTGGGAGAAAAGTGTTACTTCTGAGAACTTTAAGATTTCTTTAAGATTATCATATTTCCAGTTAAGATAGTAAATAATCCAGGGAGTGAGAAGGAGTGGAGGAGGTAGAACTATTATTATTCTATATTCCCTGAAACCTAAACTTCTCCAACTAAAAAAAAAAAAAAATTATTAAAAAAAAACCAATCATATTGTATATATTAAAATAACACCATTCATGTGCAAGAGTCAAACTTTGGCAGTTTCATATCTTTGGACCAATCTCTAAAAAGTTGAAAGTAAGTGAAACGAGTGATAATGAGCTCACACCCCCTGTCTTATAGCCATTCACTGGGCTCTATGGAGCACTTAACTGTCCAAGATCCACTTTTCAATCCAGTTTACTCTCCTGATGAACCTCTGTTTTTTCATCCTTCTCTAGAACATGATTGTTTAAAGTCTTTTTTCAATATAATGTTTAATAAGCTTGAAAGAAATTCTGGTTTCTGTGTTCACAACATACTAGAATGAACGAAAGTAAAATAAACAAACAAACAAACAAACAAACAAACATGTCTGAAAAGAACAGCATAACACTTGAAATAAATGAAATGATCCCACTTCAAAACTGAATATCTGTAAGGATGAGTCAAGTTTAAATTATCTTAGCTGTCTCTATTCACCAAGCCAGGGGGTGTGTAATACTTTTCAGAAACAGAACTATCAAAAATAACAATATTTTCATTTTGAATTTCGGCATACAATCATCGATTATTTACAAACCCACTTGTCACAAAATTACTTGATGGTGAGGTGTTGCTATATGCAGATTCTGATGACATCATCTTTTTTTGTCATCGCTTCAGTAATGAACTATTTTCTTCACCATAAAAGATTAAATGTTGCCAATTTAGAACTAGATTTTCCCTATTTTAGCATGAATATAATCTAGAATATTTCTTACTCATAACTGCATTTATTAATATGTAATATTCAACACAAACATCAAATGTAAAATAATCTGATAAGTTTTAATGATTATTAAAAATTATTATTTTTTAAATCTCTAAAAACATACTTTATTTAAAAATTAATTAAATCAAAGATCGTTAGGTCTTTCTTTTAGTACACCTAAGTCTTTCAACCATTAAACATGAAAAGTTAAGATTTTCATTCCATCTGGCCTATGTAACTACAAATCAAAACAAATTTTCAAATTATGAAATTTTATTTAGCTAAATAAAAACAGTTAAGGCTTAACAAAGCATTACGTATTTCTTCTCTAAATCTCAAATTTGGAAATAGAATTTCAGGCAGTAGGATTCAGTTACTTAAGAAACATGACTAACTAAATAAATAGAAATGATACTTGCTCTGTAATTGGGTCATTTTTAGCTATTAATTTCATTTTTCTATGTCTAATTTTTTATCTACAAAATTAACATAAAAATCTAATCCTCCATGGGACTTTTAATAAGTTACTGTTAAGTATATAATGTGGTACCTTACACCAAAAAATTAAGTATATAAAAGTAATAAGAAGCTTCGAATTTAACTCAACAGATGTTTGGTAAAGGTCCACAAAAGTGGAAGAAATTATTCAGATGTTACCACAAAAATAAAGGTGAATTTAAAGAATCATTGCTTTCAAGGCGTTTCCAACCAAATATGGAATGTGAAATCAGATAATCATAATGGTATTATAGCACAGAAAAAGACCAATATTACAAAAGAGGAAAAATGAATTCAGAGAAAAAATGTAAACTTTCTCCTCCTCTTGCCAGAGTATCTTTCCTGTATCTGTTGTTTTATATGGCAAGAATGTACTAATGTTTATACATGTATTTCCTCAAACATCTATTATGTCAAGAATTATTACAAATATTATATATTATGTAATAATAATACCATTCTCATTATTACGATTTTAATTTGCTTATAACTCTGGATGAAACATGGAAAGTAGGCAAATATGTGTAAGTAAATTAAAAAATTAATGAACAGATCCAGGCAGTGGAAATTAAATAGTTATTTCTACATGCAGTGTAATATTTAAAGTGTTTATGGTATGGAACTTATGAGGTCAAAACTATTCTTTTACTTGTACTTTTTCAAAATTTTTGGTAATAAACACCCATCAAATGTTCCTAATGAAAATGTATTCACATTATAGTTTGAGAAAATAGAAGATCTTTCTATTTGACATAGTTACTGTCTTTTGTTTGGATGCATTTCAATTTATTTCAGAATACTAATAGAACGAGAAAGAAGTTTAGAACCCAGAGACAGGGTTTGAATCATCACTGACAGTTACCAGCTGACTGACCTTGGAAAAGTCATTGATTCTCTCTGAGGGTCAATTTCTTAACAGGAAATTAGAGAAAATAATTTGTTGCCTGATATTAGTGAGAGGACTAATTAGAATAACAACACTTTAGTAAATTAAGCTTCTTTCATTTCATTTTAAATAAAGAAATGCAGTTTTGAAGTAAATTCTCATCAGTAACATTTAGTATACACAAAACAATCAATGAGTATAAATATTTACATAAACATATATATATATCTGTGTGTATATACATATACACACAGATATATATATACACATATATATGTACACACCTATATATGCATATATACACACTATGCCATTGGCTGACTTTCAGTATTTTCAGTATAACTAAGTCCGCTCTTACCTGTTGGTGGGATTATCCCAGGAGACATGAGGCCAGGGACAGAATGTGGCATGATATGAGAGTTCTCTGGGGAGGTGACACTTTGAGTCCTCTTAGGAGGCCTTCCAGGTCTGGAACTGAAACAAACAAACAAAAAATTTTTACAATTAAGCTGTTGTCTTACACATCATTTCAAAGTTGTTTCAAGTGGTAACATGGACTGTAAATAAATTTGTTTCAAGGACGGTTGCTTTTGCAGTTAGATGTAATAGACTTCCATCACTAATTAGATTACATGCTGAATTCATTTTCCTCATTGAAGATCAGCCACTCTTGATGCATAATTCATAGCCTGCACCTCGTTACCTGCTTCTTCATATTAATATCTATACACAGTTTGAATTGCCTCGTTTGCATATGCTAAAGTTCTGCATGCAGCCTTCAGCATGAAAATTATGCACTAACTTGTAATAATTATTACAGTCAGCTTGCTATTGATTTATGAGACTTTTAAAAACCAAATATGTGTAGTACTTGTAATGAATGATATTTTAAGGTTCTTCAGGAAATTAAAAGGCAATGGCTGCCTAAGGAAATGTTCTGCTTGTTTGATTTAATACTACAGTTAGCTGGGAGGTGGAATGAAAGAGTGATTCAGACCTATAGCACATTTTTCGATGATATGTTTTATTACTTCGCACTGCTAGCCTGATATCTAGATGATAAATGACAATACATATCTAATGTGTGAAAAGGTCTTGCAATTTCTTTATTTTTTGTCATTTAAAAGATAAGTCAAGTTATCATTTAACCCTTATTCTATTTAAATGAACAGGCCCACTAGGTTGCCTTACTTTTAATACACTAAAATAAAATGGAAAGGCTTAGAATTATTTGTAGGACATCACTGAGAAATTGTCAGTATAGCATCTTACTTCTGTCTTTAGGATAAATACAAATATCTTATGTTTGTGTTTTAGTAGTACTTGTCCTTTGCATGCCTACTGTACAAGATTCATTTTTAAAATTATAAGAGCAGAAGGTGAAGTGGAGACAAGTATCCACTCTTTGTATGAGAATAATATTAATATAATATTAACCATTTTTGAAACAAATATACTTAGCATTATGTTTCCACTTTCTGCCTCTGTATCATGAATGTGCTTTCAGGAAATGTTTGTTCTGTCACTAATCTGGCCACCATGGGTCTAGATATATCATAACCTCCAGAGCCATCCTTCATTAGCTATCATTTCCATGTTAGCCTCAGCTGAGAGCCTTTGCTTCACCAGAATATTCAAAGATCCCACCTGTATTATTTAATGTAAGTAATAAATGTGGTCATCTAACAAACAATTATTAAGTACTTGCTATTTTCAAAGCAGTGCACCGTGGAGGCTAATTTGGGAGAATGGGTTCTTTAGTCTTCAGAAGCTTATACTGTTGCCAAGGGGGACAAATCTGGTGCATAAATAACTACAGTGCAAGCTGGAATGTGCTAAGTGTCATAAGAAAGTTGCAATCTGAATACTAATTGGAAGTTAGGCTGGATGATGTGATACTTCCATGTTGAGGCATGAGAGAGAAGAATTCATGGCAGTGGAAGCAAGAGAATTTGAAAGCTGAGTTAGACATGGAGAGAGAAAGAATAGAAGAAAAGTACACTCCAGTGAGAATGTGAGAAAGAAATGGAAATATGAAAATGTATGGATATACAGAAATGTTTCCAATGCACTGAAATGCATCAAATAAGATGAGGAGCAGAGATTGACACTGTTAGCACCACTGCCTGGGCCAAATCCTGGAGGATTTTGAACCAGGAGCCGGGAGATACTGTGTTTGTTTTGCTAATCCATACAGTCACTCTCTTGCTTATTGTTCTGAAGTATCTCTCTGGCAATTTATTCTTATTCTTCGCTATTATTCTCCATCCTCAGCTAGTTGTCCAATCCCTTTAACTTGCCTAGGGCCAATCAACTGCCCTCTGACAGTCTCCATTCTCCCTGAGTGATCTTTCTGTTTACAATACCAAGATGCTAAGGAATAATGGCTAAGTATCTGCAGCCTATATCTTCCTGCTGGGATTCAGACAGATTAATGCCTGTCTACCGGAAATCTCCCCTTGAATGTTCTATAATAATCTAAAACTCAGCTTGTCCTAATCTGAACTCAGCATCTTCCCCATTAAAACCTATATTTCTTTTGCTGGTTCAGCAAAATGATACCTAACTGACTAAGCTAAAAATCTTGCAGTCAGCTGTGTCTTTTCCTTTCTTTGTATACTCAAATATCATCCCAATAAAGATATCTCTCTGATCTGTTCTTCTATTCTCTACTTCTCTTCTCTATTTCCACTCCTATCTTCCAGGTTAATCCTTCATTTCTTTTTTGATCTATTATTACAGCCTTTCAACTCTTTCCAAGATCTACCTCCAACTTTATCCCACTGTAAAGCTTCAAGTCAAGACAACTCCCCACACTGATCTCAGAATTATTTTTCGAAAACACTAATTCAATCATTTTTTCCATTTGCTTAAAGATATCAATAGTTTCCTATAGGATTCTCAATCTTCCTCATGGCACAAAGACCTTCCAAAACTTGACCTCTGGCTACTTTTCCTTTTATTTAATATCACTCTTTTATTCCTACATTCATTGCTTATATTTGGCCCCACTGCATTTCTTAGCAGCTTCATAAATTGTTTCAGTTTTCTGTTATACTACCTGTATGGATGCTTGTTCCTTTGCCACGAAAGCCTTTTTCAACACCAACCTACCCTCATCCCCATTTGACCTGGCTAAACTTGGCTAAACCTTAATCATCCTTCTTTCTAACCACATCTAGTTAGTATGCTTTCTATGATAGCCTGTGGTGAGCAACTAACTGTACTGCAGCTCTTTCTGCACTGATTGAAGTAATCTGCTTATTCATTTCACTTCCAAGACTGTGTGGCAGAAAGCATATAAAATATATATTTGGGTCCTTAAAATTTAGCTCAGGACCTGGCTAACCATTTGCATTTCTTTTCTTTTTTCTTTTTTTAATTTTTATTTCACCATAAGTATTTAAATAAATTTTAACCCAATTTATGCAGCCCTTTTGCCCAAATTCCTCAGGTATCCTACCTCATCTATTCTAGTGGCCTCAATGTTTCCAGGAAATGAAAAGTAGGATACAAAATACGTTTGGAATTCTGAGTCCAAGAATAAAGCCAAATATACATTAGAAGCCCAGAAAGAAAAAGAAAAAAAAATAGAGGTATTGGGCGATTTCAAGCAAGATGCCATGAAAACAGTGGGAAAGGAAAAGGAAGTTAAGATGTGAAAGTTATAGCCATTTAATTTGTTTTGCTTTTAAAGAAAATGGAACTGCTTAGAAGTACTTTATTATTCAGGCCACAGGAGCTGTCCTCACAGCCCTCATTCTGGAAGCAGAAGTCCGGCTACTGAGTAGGAACACTTTATTTCATGCTGTGATTAGAATAGACCCAGTGGGCTCCTTTCACCTCCTGCCCAATCTATGACATTGTCTTCAATTCCACCCATAGAGATTTACTGCTTTCAGTTTTAAAGCTTTAAGATCTTTTAAAGGCTGCCATTAAAATGCAAATACCCTTGGTGGTGGTAACACCCTACGGCCATCAACTAACACCCTACTGAGGATTACTTTACAACTAGGGGAGAGCACAGTTGTAAGATATCTATGCAAAGAATAGAGGGTCCTGGAAAGAGAGATCTGAAAGGAAGTCAAGACATTTGCCCTTGGCCTAAGAATAAGAGGACTGAAAACCTCTCCTTGGAGTTACACCCAACTTCTTGACTGAGGGGAAGTTAGAATGCTTATTTATTAACAAAACTTTCCTCTATCCCTTCAAGACTACATCATTAGTTTAGGTCCCTTGGTATTTTACCCTTAAAGTAGTCTTGGTCACTAACTGCTAGAGCAGGGATTCCCTAACCCCCAAGCCAAAGACCCATACCATTGTGGCCTGTTAGGAAAGGGGTCGCACAGCAGGAGGTGAACAGCTGGTGAGTAAGTGAAGCTTGGTCTGTATTTGCAGCCTCTCCCCAGCACTAGCATCACCTCCTCAGCTCCACCTCAGATCATCAGGCATTAGATTCTCACAGGAGCACTGGTCTCTGGTGCCAAAAAGGTTGAAGACTGCTATAAGAGGATTTGACTCTAGGGATGATAACCTAATTGTTAAATATATTTTTTAAAGATTTAAAGTGCTTTCAACACAGCTTTGGGGAACTTCCAAGAAAACACGTGTAGTTTGGTGGCCAGAAGCACAGGTTATATTTTCCTGACAGATCTAACTTTAAATACTGGCTCTACCAATGTACGAGAAGGTGTGGCCTTAATAAAGCTACATAATCTCTCTATATATCTGATTAAATGAAGATTTTTTAAGTGAACTTTTTTGCTTTGTTAGAAATAAGTTATTCTTGGAAAGAAAACAAAACCTTAACTGAAAAGTGAAAGTGAAACAATTAGCAAAAACATTCCCTCTTGAAATGATCAATCAAATGGTCAATCGCCTCAAAAGTAGCCACCTTCAAGCCTCCTTATCTGCAACAATAACCCAGCTCTATACTAAAAGATCAGGACAGCTGCTCTCCTAGCTCTAATCAAAGCAGAAGACCTCACTTAAATAAATTATTACCCTTAACAGCTTGAATGAAATTAAATTTAGTACTTTGCCAGCTTCACACATGAGCTATAGTGCAGCCCTAAGTATTTTCAACCACCTGCATTAAAAGAGGAGAGCAATGGCTTAGAGATGTCCAAATCCACACATATCATTTCACATCTCTCTTCCTTGAGAATCCACCCAGGCTCACCCTTCCCTGCAGTTTTGAATATAAAAGCTTTCTTTTGGAGAAAGGTCACTGGATAGACTTCTCTCCATGGTTTACATCATTAAATTTGTGTCATGCTAATTTCTGTCTCACTCCCACAACCTTATAGTGTTTATCAACTCTACCTAGTCCATTTATTGTCCTTATTGAGAGTGAAGTCAAATATAAATTAACAAAGGAAAGAAAAAGTGATATGACTTAATATGAAGCTAACTGCATCAAAAGTGTTAAAGGCATTAGAAATCTTAAAGGGATGGTATTTTACAGATTTTTT